AGGTTTGTCATCACTTTCCTCCCAAGAAGCAGGAGTCTTTTAATTTTGTGACTGCTGTCCCCATCTGCAGTGATCATGGAGCCCAATAAAGTAAAATCTGTCATTGCCTCCATATCTTACCCTTCTATTTCCCAGGAGATGATGGGACCAGTGGCCATAATCTTGGTTTTTTTGGTGTTGAGCTTCAGACCATTTTTTGCGCTCTCCTCTTCCACCCTCATTAAGAGGTTCTTTAATTCCTCCTGCCTTTCTGCCATCAGAGTGGTACATCTGTATATCTGAGGTTGTTGATAGTTCTTCTGGCAATCTTAATTCCATTTTGGGATTCATCCAGTCCCTTGTACTTCTGGGAGTTCTCAGTCCACATACTGCTAAAGCCTACCTTGTAGGATTTTGAGCATAACCTTGCTAATGTGTGAAATGAGTGCAATTGTACGATAGCTGGAGCATTCTTTGCTGCTGCCCTTCTTTGGGATTGGGATGTAGAGTGATCTTTTCTAGTCCTCTGACCACTTTTGAGTTTTCCAAACTTGCTGGCATATTGAGTGTAGAACCTTAACAGCATCATCTTTTGATTTTAAATAGTTCAACTGGTATGCTATCACCTCCACTGGCCTTGTTGTTAGCCATGCTTTCTAAGGCCCAATTGACTTTACTCTCCAGGATGTCTGGCTCAAGGTCAGCAACCACACTATCTGGGTTGTCTGGGACATCCAGATCTTTCTGGTATAATTCCTCTGTGTATTCTTGCCACTTCTTCTTTATGTCTTCTGCTTCTTTGAGGTCCCTACTATTTTTGTCTTTTATTATGTCCATCTTTGCACAAAACGTTCCTTTAATATCTCCAATTTTCTTCATCTCTGGTTTTTCCATTTCTATTATTTTCCTCTATATCTTTGTACTGTTCATTTAAGAAGGCTCCCTTGTCTCTCCTTGCTGTTCCTCAGAGCCAAACTATAAATTACACTCCACCCATCAATTGAAAGAGAATTTCTTAGGTGCTGATTGTCTGTGATTGCCATAGCAAGAGCTTTTTTTCTCTTCCTTTGATTTGCAAACAAGCTTGTTTTGTTTTGTGATTGGTCCATCGGCCAATGGTCGTAAGACCAGATAGATGGTATATAAATAAAATAATAATAAATAAATAAGCACATTTTTTTCTGTTGTCTGACTTTTTCAGACCTGGAAAACTGTCTCAATCATGTTTCTTTAAACACTTATGTGATTTCAGATTATTTGTAATATATAGTCTGATCCATAACGGGAACTATCAGGAAATGAATTGTACAGAGGATTGCAACCATTTTATTCTGAAAGATAGTAAGCCTGGGATTGTGGATAATCAGTGGAAGCTTATTTTGGCACAAATCCATTAATACATAGTCTCTACCATCTCTAGCATATGTCTTTATCCTCCGACATGCACCTAAGGACTGTGATAGCAGTTTTTCTAGGAAATGTTTCAGTTAGAAAATACCACATGGGCGTAATGAGGGAAATGTCTGGCTGCTGTAATAAAAAACCAGGAAATCTTTTCATTAAAAAAACATAGTTCTCTCCCAGTGAGATGCTGGATCTGTGAAGTGGTCTGGAAGGTGGAACACCCATTAATCTGGCAAAATAAAGATACAATAACATTTGCAATCAATATAGAGAAAGCAAATGAGCATAAAAGAATTCCTGTTTTTCTACAATGCCTTGATTAAACGAGAACATTACCTACTTCAGCATTGTTGGGCGATTCCACAAACAACTTGAGGAATAAATGCAGTGGCATGAAGAGTTGTCCTTAAAAAGCAACCATTGGCTTTTGTGCTGCTGAATTTTGGTTCAGGGCTGGAGCTTCCTCTGGTCTTTCCCCTTTTCTCTTCATAACCAACCCCACCATCTTACTTACTGCTAGCAATCCATAGCACTCGGTAGTTTAGGAAGTCAGAGAATGAAGAACTTGTTATTCATTTCCCCCCAAGCTAGACATTTTGAGTAAAACCTATCTCACAAGTTTCTACGTTCACAGATAATGCCCACCAATAATCATTTTTGCTTCCGTTGGTTGTTCCACATTGGACGTCAACCTGTGCCACGGGCTGGGGATTGCTGGGGGGTAGGGAAGGTTTCATATATATATGGACATGCCATACTCAGCTTTTTAAATTTCCATGTGATTTTTTTTTCTCCCTTCACAGGGAAACCCAGGTAATGATGGTGCTCCAGGCCGCAATGGTGCTCCTGGTTACAAGGTAATCCCATCCTTTCTTTCATAAGTGGAATGGATGTAAGTCTGTTTCTGTAAGTCCGTTTCTACATACTTACCGAGACTGTCTGTTTTTCTTTCACATCCGTCTTTGTAGGGTGAACGTGGTGCTCCTGGAAGTCCTGGCCCTGTCGGTGCTGCTGGTGCTCCTGGCGCCCACGGGATTGTTGGTCCTGTTGGCAAAACTGGAAATCGTGGTGAACCCGTACGTGACCTGCATTTGTTTTGTAGAAACCAAGGTGCCTCTAAGTAAGGCAGGCACAATTAGCTAGGGGTCCAGTTATTATCTGCACAGTCTTTTATCTTGGAGGTCCTATGGACTTTCTCCCCTCAGACCAACACTCCCATTTATTTGATTGGGTTTTAAGTAGCTTACAAGCAGGACACGCAAGAACATTTTTGGATGGCACAGCTCCCCTGTCCAATGTTCTGCTCAACCACTCATACCTCTTCCAGGACAATGCATTCCATCCCCTCTCCCCTCTGGTTTTTATTTTTGCCCCATCCAACAGATACTGAGCATTCTGTGGCCAGTGAGCATGCTCAGTCCTTATTGGACTGTTTTGAAGAGAAATGACACCTTAAGATTTCTTTTGTGTGTGTGTGTGTGTGTGTGTGTGTGTGTGTGTGAAGGTTATTGATATTTTTGCAAACTGGTTCCACTGAACAGGCTGATGCTTTCTCCTTGTTCTTCTGTGACTGCAGTTTGGCTAAAATCCTGCTTAACTTTGACAGCTGAGTTTCCTGATAGAAGAACTGGCTGTTTAAGTATCATTGTGGACCCTAAGGATCTAGTGATACCAAGAGATATAGATGACTTGATGATGACATTTTGGGTGACCCTCAGCCTCTAAACCATAAGCTACCCTGTTTCCCCAAAATAAGATCTAGTGTATATACTCAAGTATAAACCTAGCTTTCAGCACTTTTTTTTGGCTGAAAAAGCACCCCCTCTCAGCTTATACTCGGGTCAGTGTCAAAATTACATATTCTCCCCTGCAGTGCCCCCACTCATCTACGGGCACCTGCAGCCTCTTTGGGTGGTCCAATGACCTGGGTTAAGTACACTGTATTTCCGTTTCCAGGATACTCCCATCCTCCTCCTCCTGCATATTCTATATACCCACCTTACTTCTCCCACTTTCCTCCTCCATCTTCCTCCATCTTGTTATGCACATTCTATATACTCCTCCATCTTCCTCCATCTTGTTATGCAGCAGCAGAGCAGTAGATAAGCGCAGCATCGGTATGAGTCCTCCCTGCGCAGGCAGTGAAGTGTGCTTTGCAGCTCAGAAGGACAGTATCTTCAAAAACATTTAACCTACTGATGTCTCAATTAATGTAATGTTATTGATATCTATTTTTATTTTTGAAAGTTACCAGTAGCTGCTGCATTTCCCACCCTTGGCTTATACTCAGATCAATAAGTTTGACCCAGCTTTTGGTTGTAAATTGGGTGCCTCAGCTTATATTCAGGTCGGTTTATACTCAAGTATATACCCACAAGTATATTCCCCCACAGCGCCACCACGTCCCCTAAGTATATACGGTAACCTGAAAATAAGCCCTTTTTTAGGATGCTCGTAATATAAGCCCTACCCCAAAAATAAGCCCTAGTTAAGTGAAAGCCCACCCTCCACCATTGTGCAGCAACCAGAAGAAGATGACATGACTGTATTTGAATAAACATAGATTGTTGTACATGAAAAAAAATCCCTTGAAAATAAGCCATAATGCATTTCTGGAGCAAAAATTAATATAAGACCCTGACTTATTTTCCAGGAAACACAGGACGCTTTCCTCTTGTTCTTCATGCCCATGTGAAGGAAAGCACCCACATGCACATCATTTCTCTCACTCCTAAGCATTCTGTCTGGCCTTTCTCCAAACATCATCCCCAATACAACGAATATTGTATGGCTCACAGCCCAAATCTCTTTAGACTTAAACTGTGGCCCTTGTATGTCGAATAGTTGTGGGTGCTGACTACAAAATTGTTCAAGAACCTTAATAAAATAGTAAGATAGGTTCATTCCCATTCACTGTCAATTACTCCCTCATAAAAAATCCCACTTTACCTAGGAGGTCTCCTCTGCTATATATTTTCACAATCTTCATTATCAGTGGTTTAAGCATCTGGGTGTAGAGTCAGAGGTTGGGAGTTCAGTTCCCCCACTGTGCTTCCTTGACAGGGGCTGCCCTTGATGATCCATGGATTTCCTTCTAGTTCTGCAGTTATAAGATTTATTTATTTATGGTTATATTGTAAGCCATGGCATTCCAGTCATCCTGAACCTTCCAACACTGCCCATTAATGGCAGCAAGAATAACAGGAATTACTCTATTCCCTATTGCTTTTTGATGAAGTCTAAAGGTGTGATGTCAGAGGGCTTAATTTGTCCCAGCAAAAACTGCAGTGCTACGTTGTTTGGGCTGCTATTTTACCCTTTGCACTGTTCAGTTTCCTTGCAATAGAAATTCATTTGTAAAGCAGTGTCCTGCTGGAGGAAAAAAACTATAAGTGGGTATATTCTTTCATTTGGGAAAGTTTTCAGCAACGGCCAGGATCATTTGGCTATGTTGGCTGATGTGTTCTGGGATTCCAAAAAAGAAGTAACTTTTCAAATATCACTTTATGTAATGCATGGTAAACAGGAAGCACAAGTCATCTGTGCTTCTTATTACAGTAATTAGTTTTCTCTTAATATCTGAACCACCATAGCAATTCTCTGTGAGAGGTACACAGCCTTAGTAAAGAACCAAATTGTATGCCACCCCATTTGGGGGGGGAATCAGTATTTCACTTCGGATATCACAAATGAAGTGCAGAAGAGAATATGTGAAACATTTGTTATGTTCTTCATATGTACTGGATTGGTACATTTTAGCCAAGAGAAATGTACCAATCCACCCTTAGGTTTCTGATTCTTGTTATCACACATATATTCTTTGTTGTGTTTTCTTTCCAGGGTCCTGTCGGTCCCGCTGGTTCCACCGGTCCCGCTGGTCCAAGAGGACTTCCTGTAAGTCCAGTTTATAGTTTATTTCTGTATTTATGGTGAGTCTTTTCTTACAGAAGGATGGCCCTTATGGAGATTTGAAAATAGGGAAAACCTTTGCACAAACAAGGATAGTGATATCTGAACAAAGTAGAGAAATGGAGTATAGTGGGGATCTCTCCCAAGGTTAGAAGAATTTGAGATTGTAGTGACATGCACTCCTTTGACAAAGAGATAAGACAAAAATAATTGTCAAGCCAAATCATTCTGAAACGTAATCTCATAAGCAAATGTGAGATCTGTGCCACTTAGGGCTAGCCTACAATGTGTGCAAAATATATGCCTTAGAAAACCAACTGCTTAGAAACACTGCCTTTTCTAGAGCACCCAGAATCCCACAGCAACTATGGCTGGTGGTCATAATAACCAGGGGATTTCAATCTCTTGTAGTCCAAAAATGTTACTTTTCCAATCCATCCCCCAAAAAACACACTCACAGACACATCGTGCAAACCAGTATTTCTGGAATTATTCATATTGACGTTGAGCTTCATTGTTTGGTTTGCTGAAACTCTTCCTTTTTCAGTATTCATGTTCTTGTTTCTTCTGTAGGGCCCACAAGGTCCCCGTGGTGAGAAAGGTGTTGTTGGCGACAAGGGACCCAGAGGTCTGCCTGGGTTGAAAGGACACAATGGACTTCAGGGACTTCCTGGCATCGCTGTAAGTGTGTTATTTCAACAGGAGGCCCCAACAACAACAACAAAAATAAAATCCCACTGATAAACAAAAATTATAATCTTCTTTATAACCTATGGCAAATTCCATGAGTTATTCTAGGCTAGACTCTGTGAAGATACCTCCATAAATTCCCTTTGAAGTATAATGGAAGAAAGAGATTTGCAACCAAATGTAGCAGTGCAAAGTGATCCTGATCGTGGTTTCAGCCTGTAGGCTAGCTAGTCATATCCTCTTCCATGATGCTCAAGACAATTTTCTCTCCCTGTTCCTGGGTTTTTACCCACCCCCTGCAACAGTCAGCCAGCATTTCATGCTCAGTGTCATGGGGAGCTTTAGAAGCTTTCTTCCTTTGGAATCTCCTCCTCAACGGTGTAGCAGTGCAGAGTGATCCTGATCCTGGTTTCAGCCTGTAGGCTAGCTAGTCATATCCTCTTCCATGATGCTCAAGACAATTTTCTCTCCCTGTTCCTGGGTTTTTACCCACCCCCTGCAACAGTCAGCCAGCATTTCATGCTCAGTGTCATGGGGAGCTTTAGAAGCTTTCTTCCTTTGGAATCTCCTCCTCAACGGTGTGGGTTTTCCCCCAGACCTGTTTGTATCTTAGAGATGGGTGGTGCCATTTTGGCTATCCAAGGTTTGACACTTGGAGAATTAATGTACTGTTAATATGCAAGGAGATCTACTGGGGTCTTTCCATATAGCTTCATGTTGCCTATTTTCATTGTCAGCAGTCTTGCCATGTTTCAAGCATGTGTCATGTTACCTTTTAGCTTCCTGCGGTGCCTGTAGTTAATTTACAAAATCTCACAAGAAATATCATGAATTGCTTAGCACCATCTAGAAGCTTCAACCCTCTTGCCTAGAAATCATATCCCTGGTTCAAAGTATATGAGGTGTCACACTAGCTGTGATTATTTAGAGAAGGCTTTCACGGCCGGGATCTAATGGTTGTTGTGGGTCCAGAGCACAGAGTGCTGTCCTCTGAAGATGCTGGCCACAGAGACCTGCGAAATGTTAGGAAGAACAACCTTCAGAAGACAGCCAAAGAGCCCGAAAAACCCACAACAACCATTATTTAGAGACATTAGAAACACACTTTGTATATTCCAAGAGATACTTTTGTCATTCATATTACTTTCTGTTTCTTGATACCGAGTCCTCCTAATATATAGAGAGAAATAAGTAGACACGCACAGAGAGAAGACTTTGAAAATGAACTCAGGATCAAAACAAGCCCTCTGTAGTATTCCACCCCTCCCCCCCCAAAAAAAACACCATTCATCCATTCTGCAAGTAGTATAAATTTTCTGCAAGGATAAAGGGGCAAGTCGAAACACTCTTTTCAGTTTTTCCCCTCTTTTATTTTGTCTCATCTCAACAGGGTCATCATGGAGAGCAAGGTCCATCCGGTATCCCAGGTCCTGCTGGCCCAAGGGTATGTCCACTCACATGACTCTGTCTCACTGATACACCACCTTTCTCTTCTTTCTTTGTACCTGGTGTGCTGAGTTGTGGATATTCTCTCCCTACCCTTTCTGTTTTAGGGCCCTGCTGGTCCTTCTGGTCCTGCTGGAAAAGACGGTCGCAACGGTTTGCCTGGACCTGTAGGCCCTGCTGGTGTGCGTGGATCTCAAGGTAGCCAAGGACCTTCTGTAAGTATGAATTGTGATGTTGATATGGTAGAATGAAACAATAACCTTTAATATTCACAGCACAAATCTGTCCATGTTTATTTAGGAGCATTCAGTGGGAGTTACTCCTGTGTAAGTTTCTATATATTTGCAGCACAAGACTGCCATCCTATGCACATTATTCTAGTAATAAAACCTACCATATGCTTACTTTCAAATGTAAGATTCCCTAGCATGCACATTCCAATCTTGAACTCATTTAATTAGAAGGAATTATTATTGATTCCTATAGAGCTTAGCCTTCTGAGTTCCTCCCAGTTGGAAGCATATTTATCTGGAAGGAAGCTCTCTTGAAATGAACATGACTTATTACTAGGTAAATGCCTCCAAGCCTGAGATTTGCAGCTGCAGTCATGTAAACAAAGAGCGCACAACCTGTAGCACTTGGATCCTTGCGTTGTAGTTGCTAAAGCCGGTGAGAGCCCATCCACTTATTCCTAGAAGTTAATTAGTCAGCTGCCACCCCACCTCTGAGATCACTGTACACCTGTTACTAGTAGTCGAGATGAGCACCCGTCTTAATAAAGATTGCAGGAAAGTGCATGCATGCATGCATATGTGTGTAGCCTCTCCTCACACTGTCACCCGATAGAGCCTTTAGGCTGCAAATGTCATTCACCCCTGCTATACATACTGTATTTGTTTTGGAATAAGTCCCATTGAACGCATTGGACAAAATCCTGTTCCATAACTTTGCACTCAGTGCAATTGAGATTAGATGCTAGAAACATTTAACTTACACTAAATGAAAGCTCCCTATCCCCCACCCCTGCCATTTTAGGTTCCAGGGCTCCCTTTTTTTTCCTGGGAAAGCCTTGGGAACCTTATGACAGGGGGAGCCTTTAAAAGTCAATTTACTTTCGTCTGTTTACTTTCAAAGGTTTCCCATCCCATCCTGAAGCTCTCAAAGGCCCAAGGGAAAAGGAAGCCTGAGGGAGCCTCAGAACCTAAAACAGGGGAGGGTGGGAAGCTTTTAATTAGTGTAAGTTAAATGTCTCTGGTGCCAGATTCAAATTGTACCAGGTGCAAATTTACGCAACAGGATTTCCCCCATTGTGGCTTACCTCTGGATACAGATAGGATCACTGCAAACAGGGATTGTTCAGCTTCCTTTGCTGTTATGAGGAGGAAGCCTTTTCTGTCCGAAAAAAGAATATAACATGAGTGCTATCCCCTGGAAAACAGGCACATGGGCACTGTACTGTTTAGCATCATGGAACAAACGAAAATTATTTAGAAGCAGACCTGATATTTCCAATTGGACTGACTTCCACATTATGTTTAGGGCTGCAGTTTAAGACCAAATCCTAAAAATGTCTAGAATCCACCACAATCTTGCTACAGTTCTTGTTGTTTCAATTAAAATTTTCAAACTAAGCCAAATAACATAGCTTTTAATTACAGACCAGACTGTGTTCATATTAAATTCTTCCCCACTGCCTGCATTGTACCAGATAAAGGATTCAATCTTAAGAATATATGTGTTACATCCTAGGTCCGCTGTCTCATCACTAATTTTAGTTGATGCATATCACTTCTATAGTAGCTCTCCCAGGTGTGAGTCCAGCAAAATTTACCCTTGACGGTGTTTTTACTGTTTATGTGGATTTGAGATAGGACATTTTGCATAAGCAAGCAAAGTGTAAGTTAAACACATGCCTACTCATTTCTAGAGATGGGAAGGCCTGGAAAAAAACTGGAAAAATTGGGGAGGGGGACGCACACAGTTTTTTTCCTGTTTTTTTTTTCTCAAAGCCATTTTATATGGCTTCAGAATTTCCAGAAACCTTACATCTCTACCCATTTCTTCCAACCCTGAACATCTCTAGGGTCCACCAGGACCACCCGGTCTTCCTGGCCCAGCTGGTCCCAATGGCGGTGGATATGAGATTGGCTATGACATGGAATACTACCGGGCAGATCAGCCTTCTCTTAGATCCAAGGACTACGAAGTTGATGCCACTCTGAAATCATTGAACAACCAAATTGAGACCCTCCTCACCCCAGAAGGCTCTAGAAAGAACCCAGCTCGCACTTGCCGTGACTTGAGACTCAGCCATCCTGACTGGACCAGCGGTACGTTGTAAAGCTGGATGCTTGACTAATAGCTTGTACTTTGCTCAACATGGCATCTGGATGGTTCTGCATTGCTTTCAATGATTACTAAAATTCCACATGTGCAGATGATCAGTAAAATGCATGTGTCCTTAGTTGGATGAAGATGAGCACAGCTGCATGTCCTTTTCTGTTCTATATTTTATTTGGGATGCACTTCCACAACACCAAGGAATCAAGTGTGAGCTGTCCTTTTCACATCTCTTTGTCAGTTCTGTGGAGGTGTAGGAAATAATGACAGATGGAGAGTTGGGCTTTTCCACATACAGTGGTGCCTCGCTTAGCGAATCCTTTTCACAATTCTTTGTCAGTTCTGTGGAGGTGTAGGTAATGACAGATTACCACATAGAGTGGTGCCTCCCTTAGCGAGCACGCCATTTAGCGACGAAATCGCTTTGTGATGAACTTTTTGCGATCGCTTTACGATGTTCCCTATGGGGTATTTTCGCTTTGCGATAACCAATCATCGCAAAGCAACCATTTTTGCACAGCTGATCGGCGGTTTCAAAATGGCTGCCGGGGAAAAAACATGGCCGCCCACTGTTTTCTGGGACGGATTCCTCGCTTAACAGGCAGCGAAAATGGGCGCACTATGGAGAATCTTCACTGAATGGTGAGTTTGAAGCCCCTAGGAATGCATTAATTGTGTTTTAATGCGTTTCTATAGGCTTTTTTATTTCACATTGCGACATTTTCGTTCAACAGCGATTTCGCTGGAACGAATTAACGTCGCAATGCGAGGCACCACTGTATAACAAACTGTCTCCCTGGAAAGTGTTGTGCTGCTTTCCATGAAGCACAAGCCAGGAATCTGATTCAGCACCACATCTGGTTCCATCTGGTTCTGTAATAAGCTAGTTCTTGTTACACTTTATCTATATTCCTTACATTTAATGGATTGTAACTTTTAATTAAAATTGTCTGGAGCAATCCATCCCTTTAATCTTCAGTTGTTTTTAATATAGTTAAATTTAGTTTGGTTTAGTTATATGCTCCTTTCTTACTGTAGATGGTGTACAAACTTAGCTGACAATCAGTATCAGGTTAGCATCACGTGAAGAGAAGCAAAATTATAAAATACAGTAAAATTCAAATTAGACCAAATGGACAATTCAATAATCATAGCATAAAATGTAATATTTCAGTTAATCTAGATATAATACATAAGAATCTGAATTAATGAGATTAACAGGGTAAAATGAACAAACAAAAGCTAACACAAACTTGTTTATGCATGTCTTGCTGCTGGCCAAGGGGTACTGAAGCAGTCTGGTTTAAATATACTGTTATGAAATGAAGCCTCCCACCCCAAGACTTTGGAGTTTTGCAGTATACATCCACATGGCTCATTTGGCTGAACAGCAGTGTGAGTGTTTGATAAGAGTATTTGATAAGTCTTATTTGCTGTTGCTTTTTCCGAAATGACAGGATTCTACTGGATTGATCCTAACCAAGGCTGCATCCTGGATGCTATTAGAGTATATTGTGACTTCTCCACTGGCGAGACATGCATCCATGCCAATCCAGAAACTATCCCAGCTAAGAACTGGTACATTAGCAAAAACCCTGCTGAGAAGAAACACATTTGGTTCGGAGAAACTATCAATGATGGTACTCAGGTGAGCACGCACACTGCAGATGTTCTCATCAATGTGTTACCGAGTCCCTAGTCTAAGCAAATTAAACTTTGTGTTAAGAAGTACTTTTTACTGTCTCTCCTGAACCTACTTGCCAAACAGTGTCAGTGGACATTATCCTTATGTTTTGTACAGGGTGAGAAACATGCTATCCTTTGAATGTTTTTGGACTGCAATACCTATCAGACCAATCTAGCATATGCAATGGTGATGGATGAAGGGAGTAGTAGCCCAACAACATCTGTAGGGCCAAATGTTCCCTATCCTTGCTTTAAGTTATGAGAGAACACATGCACACCCCAATTCTCTCCATGCTATTCACATGTTTAAAGTAAATCTGTTACGTCTCCAAAGGGACTCATTTTTACATGGGTAGTGACACCTGGACATCATTTGATCACTGTGTTATATTACACTGTGTCTGTGTAATAACCAATACATTTTTATGGAATGGAGTCCCTCTGAATAGGATGTAAAAGTCCAACTATTATATAAGAGTATCTCTAGCCTCAGAGATGGAGAACTAGTGGCCTTCCAAATGTTTTGGTCTGGGTACTCCAAATCACATGGAGGGTCAAAGGTTCTCCACCCTTTTCCTAGATAGCCATCTTTATTATTCATTGCTCTTTATTGTTTATATTTCTCCACCACTGTCGTTGCCTTTAGATGCCAATGTTCATTCATTTGACTTGTAAAAAACCCAGACATATTATTCCTGTAATTTTAACTATGTGTTTCCTATAACCTTCTATTTTTAGTTTGAATACAATGACGAGGGTGTGACTTCCAAGGACATGGCCACTCAACTTGCCTTCATGCGGCTCCTGGCCAACCATGCCTCTCAGAACATCACTTACCATTGCAAGAACAGCATTGCTTACATGGATGAGGAGACAGGCAACCTTAAGAAGTCACTGATACTGCAGGGATCCAACGATGTTGAATTACGAGCTGAAGGCAACAGCAGGTTTACTTTCAGTGTTCTTGAAGATGGCTGCTCTGTAAGTACTAGTTCTTTCTTTTTAAAAAAATGCAGTATATCTAAATATTATCATCTTCCTGCAATGCCAGATTATTTTGAAAGAACACAGGTCATTTATTTTTATTCTAATACTGGGAATCCTCTGGACCTGCAGCTGTTGCTGAACTCCAATTCCTATCACCTCAAGCTAGTCTGACCCATGATGAGGTGTGATGGGAATAATAGTTCATGAACATCTAGAGGTCCAAAGGTTCCTTTACAGCACAATCATATACAGTAAGATGTCCCATTCAGCTGAGAGAGTTTACTCCAAGCAAGACTGTATCCCAAGCTTAGTTTATGGAAGATATGTTTTCAGTTGTTGAAAGTACTCTTCCAGGGTGTTAAAATATTTTCCTGTAATAATGCTGCACTTCTTGGTCATTGAATTAATACAGAAAAGCAAACACGTACAGTGGTGCCTCGCTTAACGAGGAAATCGCTTACCGAGGAAATCGCTTGACGATTAGGTTTTTGCAATCGCAAAACAATGGTTTAAATGGGAAAAATCCGCTTCACAATGATCGGTTCCCTGCCTCAGGAACCGATTTTCGCATTACGACGATCTAAAAAGAACTGATCATCGGGTTTCAAAATGGCCACCGGGTGTACAAAATGGCTCCCTGCTGTTTTAGGAGCCATTTTCCGCTATACAGGCACCCAAAAATGGCTGCCCCTATGCGCAGGCACCCGAAAATGGCTGCCCCTATGCAGGATCTTCCCTGGACGGTGAGTTTTCAGCCCATTGGAACACATTGAACGGGTTTCAATGCATTTCAGTGGGCTTTTTTATTTCGCTTTATGATGTTTTCACTCTACAGTTATTTCGCTGGAACGAATTAACATCATCAAGCGAGGCACCACTGTACTGACTGAAATGCTTTTGTTCAGTTATTCAGAGTGCAGTTTGTGGAAGTATATTGTTGTAAGTTAAGAAATCTCTGTAGACATTGGCTGTTGCATACTGAGGGAGATTTCTTAACTTGAGGCAATTAAACTCTAAAAATTAAGCCTTTTACATAAAAGCACAAGATTTCAGCTACTGTAGGGACTTTGCTCTCTGCCTAATTGCTACTGCGCTGAATTCCTAAGAGCCAAAAAAAAGACATATACAGGAAGAGGGGAACTCAAAACTAACAGAAACAAGTCACATAGGCTTTGGGAAGTCAGCATTTCTGGAGAGAGAAATCTGTAAGTGGGGGGTCAAACTGTACATTACCAAGAGCACCTCGGAAAGGGGAATTCCCGGAGTGTTGAAAGTAGGAGCAGCTTTTTTGTAGTTTTAAAATTAGCTAATTTTGTTTTGAATTGGCTCTAAAGATATACAGTATTTGCTGTTGTTGTTATGTGCCACCAAGTCAGAAGTGACTTATAGTGACCTTAATAGGATTTTCAAGGTATGCGTGATATTGAAGGAGTGCTTTTACAGTTCCACTTTCCCAGTGAGTTTCCATGGCTGAGTGGAGATCCAGACTCAGGCCTCCTGAGTCCTAAGAGCCAAAAAAAAGACAGGAAGAGGGGAACTCAACACTAACAGAAACAATTCACAATTCACATATATATATATCTGGGAATGCCTGTTGATCCCTGATGAAAGCCCCAGACTCAGGCCTCCTGAGTCCTAGTCCATCACTCTATTCACTACACTACACTGGATATCCATTTGAGATGTTGAGATATATATATATAGTATATATCTATATATCGGGGAATGCCTGTTGATCCCTGATGAAAGCCGTCAGTTAATGCCTTGAGAACTCTTCTAATTACTGTTTACTATTCCTGTCTTCCAGAAAAAGAACAACAAATGGGGCAAAACGATTATTGAATACAGAACTGATAAGCCATCTCGCTTACCCTTCCTTGACATTGCACCTTTGGACATTGGTGGCGCTGACCAAGAATTCGGTGTGGACCTTGGCCCGGTCTGTTTCAAATGAATGAACTCTAACTAACTTAAACCAAAACAACAAAAAATATTCTCTCTTTGCCATTTCTTTTTTTTTTTAAATACTGAAAGCTGACTCCTTCCATTTCCTCTGTTCATCTACTTGCTTAAACTCTTGGCGAAAGAGAAGGAGAAGGATTTTTTATTGGAACGTTGCACAATGCAATTTAATACAGCCCCCCCAACAAGGAATCGGAAGGTGTGTGGTGTTTTTTTTCAAGAGTATGTCATCTTGTTGTGGAAAATGTCAGCCTTTGTGTAAAACTGAAAAAAAACAAAAAAAAAACCCAAACAAAAACCAAATAAAAAAATCCTGAAAGTTTGCACCACTTGTGGCCTTTGAGTATCTTCCACAGAGGAAGTTTAAAACCAAAGCTTCCAAAGGTTTGAACTACCTCAATACACTTCTAAGCCAAGTGCTGTGTGATCCACATTCTTATACATAATCGGAGGTGTTTTTGGTCCCATTCATAATAGAAAGGTGCTGATTCAGTATTATGGAGTATATTGCCAATACTTGAACTTCAATGGTGCTAGTTTCATTTGAAAATCAGAACCAAAACCACTTATCTGTATTAAGTTGTATTGTTTTCTTTGGAATCTGTTTCAAAATAAAGTGAGAACTGACCCCATCTCACCGCCAGACTAAGCATGTGGATCATTTCTCTACCCACCTCACCCCAACCTGTCTTCGTCCTCTTCTTCAACATCAGGTGTCCATGCTTTTTTAAATCTCATTTTCATCCTCTCCAATGGGCAGAAAGGAAATCATCGTTTCTCAAAAAAATAAAAAAATTGTACCTATTTTGTATATGTGAGATGTTTAAATAAATTGTGAAAAAATTGAAATAAAGCATGTCCAGTGTTCCAAAAGAAACCACTGAATGAGTAAAGTTCCTTTAAGTGTATCAACAGATATTTTTGCATCTGTTTACTTCGCAAATTTACTTTTATTAAAACATAAGAAGGTAGAAAGATTCAGTACTGCTTCCAGCAGCTATAATCCAGTAGTTCAGTGGAGTAACTTGCAACTATAGCAGGACTACTGCATCAATAGAACTTATAAAAGGGTTAACTCATCAAATCCCCACTGATTCTATGGGCCTAGTTTCGTTGCAACTTACTATGCTAAGCAACAGGATTTCAAACATAGTGCCTCACTCCAACCCAGTCTCTATTCTGAGTGTTTAAATTTAGCTGATTGTTGAATATGCCAAATCCTTACTTTCTTTCAATTAATCAATAGTATTTACTATGTCAGGAATGGGAACTTCTGGCCTTCTGGATGGATGTGGCCCAACAACGTTCCCATCCAGCCTGTGAGTGTCTTCTTATTTCCAACTAGAAATACTGTTAAAAATCCAACTGAATATGTATACTGTACCAGCGTATGTCCAATGATGAAACTCAGACTGCAAATGGCTATTAATAAGTTCTCGATTGAATTCCTGGTCACATGTGTACTCATACACTGATATGTAACTAAGAATTCAGTCGGGAACTCATTCATTCCCTGCTCCTACTTTTAATAGCCGCCTAGAGTGGTCGAAATGACTAGATAGGCAGGGTATAAATACAATAAATACATAAATAAAAAATAAAATAATAATGCAGTTAGCCTACCTTGAATTTTCATTTGGATTCTGGCTAAGAAATGTTTTGTATTAAACAACATATCCGCTGTAAAAACCTGGGGACTATCTATGAAATGCAAGTTAATATTCACCTACCTCTTCCAGAAAAGCATGTATATAAAGAAAGGATTCATCTTGATTTCATAGATCTTTGGTATTCTCTGGTTCTATAGAAGTGAGCATTTCTCAATTAAAGCCACTGACTTCTTTAAGAAAGAAAGAAAAATCTTTCTTCCCACCCTAAAGTAGAAGTAAACAGATCTCACAAATTATATCCACAACTGTTTTATCACGTATTTTCTTCTTCAACCAGGTGGGTGTATTATTTTTATATAACAAAATAATTGCTATTGCTGCCAAGATGTTTCAAACTACAGCCCTACAGACTAAAGTATAAATCTGCCTAAAGGACATGATGCAGTTCTCTTTGGTCTGTATACCATTTCAGAACAGGGCCAGTCACCTGAAATGCCAGAGTGATGCAGGTGGCAATGGCTGCTGGAATTCCACCCTTTCCCTCAGAACTGTAGAGCCCTCATACTCTGCACCAACCCCACAGCCCACGGGCTCTTGGCCAGGTGTTTCAATAATGGCTAACTCCAGGGAGTCTTTGGATCCAAGCAATTGTCTAAGGAATGTGCAAAACAAACAAACAGCCTGTGCCACAGCTCCTTTGGGGGGACTTTGGCTTTGAGGACCCCCTTGAGGCCAACCATTATTGAAAAAACCAGCTGAGAAGCATCCGGACAATAGAGGTGACATACAACAACAAGGCCCCTGCTGGGATAGCAGTTGCTCCATTTCTTGTCTTCTTCAGTGGCCTGCTGAGGGCACTGCTCCTTTACTACTGTCCGTCATCACCTCCTGCCTTCCTCTCCATATGACTATTGCTCCATGCAAGGAGGGGGAATGTCACTTCTCTTCCTACCTCAATTGATGGGAAAGCTCATGCTGACCTTGCTTCAGAAAGCAGGTAGGAATCATACATTAAATTTTGGTTGTTTCTCAGGTCCAAAGCTTCCTGCCTTTGGAAACCTAACATGTTCTTCAGCAGGCCAATTTTCTGTGCATGAAGTTATTGAGATATGAAAACATCTGAATATAAAATGCCCATGTTTTCTGAAGTGGCACAATCCAGGAGGGTTGCCCTAGGGATGTGTACTTGAAACCTGTCTCATTGGTAAATTCTAAATCTTGCTGTACAAAAACTTCGTGCTTAGACTTCCCTGTGTAACAGTTAGATTTGCTGGCCACTCAAGAAAACAAGCCCCTGCCCTTGTTTCCGGCTCATCCCTTTTGTTTTTCACCTGTTTTTCCACCCAGCTTAATGACCTTTACAGGTGAATCCTGCATGGGAATTCTGCATTGGAACTGTAATATTCCTGAGATGCATGGTGTCTCCAACAGAGAAAATGACCATGAAATTTGTGATAAATCTTGTGGGCTTTCCTATGAAATTTCTCAAGGGGGGGAAGCATATATATTGTGAGGAGAAAAGAGCCCCCAGCTCTGTTTCTCAATGACAACAGGAAATTGCAAGATTCACACCCCCATGGTATAATGCACTGTTTTTTTCCGAATATATACTCAGTTCTTCCCTGATATTAATGGAGTTTCTCCAGTGGAAAGGTGGACATATGCTGTTCTTTTACACCAGAGAGACCATCTCATTAAGAGGTTCAATTCAGGAACAAGTCCAGTCTCAAGTAGGGCTACCATCTGGAGCCCCTTGATACATGCTACAAAGTTGAAGTACAGCGGGACATTGCCTTATCTCTTTTTTCACTGATACACTGGCTGAAATCTTGTTAGCGGAAGCCAAATAAAAACTTTCAGTCAGTTCACTCCTGCCAAACAAAGTACTTACACCACGAACAGGATTTTGACCACTACGTACACAAACTCAGGGGCAGCCCTTCTCTTAGGCAGGGAATGGGACTTGTCTCAGGTGGCAAAAGGTGAGAAGTAAGAGCAAGATAATAGAGGAGAAAATTACTGTAGTTGCTGTGCAACTCACCCTGCACCCTCTGCATTCAAGTGCACTGGAAAACCCTGTCCTATTGCTAATGTTGATGAAATATATAAGGCTCTCAGTCCAGCCAACGTTTGTACATAGAATGAGAGCAGGCGCCATTTTGTTCCCTGTCCCAGACAGTGAAATATCTTAGGCTGGACTGGCAGAGACAAATCTAACACATGGTACACAAAAATGGAATCCTCACCATGATTTTTAAAGCTACATAATTAAGAAGATAATAGGGGCGTGGTGGCGCTGTGGGCTAAACCGCAGAAGCCTGTGCTGCAGGGTCAGAAGACCAGCAGCCGTAAGATCAAATCCACGCAACGGAGTGAGCTCCCGTCACTTTGTCCCAGCTCCTCGCCAACCTAGCAGTTCAAAAGCATGTAAATGCGAGCAGATAAATAGGTACCATCTCGGTGGAAAGGTAAAATGGCGTTCCCTAGTCACGCTGGCCACGTGACAACGGAAACTGTCTTCGGACAGGTGCTGGCTCTATGGCTTGAAAAACAGGATGAGCATGGCCCCCTAGAGTCGGACATGACTGGACTAAAAATGTCAAGGGGAACCTTTACCTTTACCTAATTAAGAAGATAATATTTGTTTTGACGACACCCTCCAATATTTAAAATGCAGAATAGAACTGTCAATTAAATAGCTGGTAACCGCAAGACATATTCCCAAGAGTGAGGCATATTTGCATTAACTGGAGTCTGTGTTAACACTATCACACCTTCTCAATTTGGTTTGAAAAAAGTCTCAGAAGGACCCACTTTGAAAATACGGAAGAGCTACTGATCTTTTTCTGGCAAGGCTTCTGCAGTGACCACGGAGCAAATTGGTGAGCAGGCATTTAGCAATGTAAAGCACTGGCCACTAAAGTTTTGCCTACCATACAACTATCAAATAGTATGGAAGTCCTGACAGGAAAGAAAATAAACAGCTGTATTAGAACAGCCACAAAAAGACAGAGATACTATATAGATTGCCAGGTTATTCCAGTTCAAGCTAGGAGTCCTGTTATTTTGCCAAAATAGCACAATGTCCCTAGAGAAGATAGAGGTACCTATCAGCCGTTTGTTGAAATTCCTCAATTTATAAAAGGACCCCAAACCCCTATATCATATCATACTACGTGTATTTCAGGATATATGAGAACTACCACCACCCCCAATCAGCCCAAGGAGAACTGTGCATCATAATCAATGAGCACAAAGTCTTGTGGTGTGGGGAATGGAAAACTGGAGTGCCGAGAAATAGAATTCAATAGCCAAAATGAGGAATAAGATCACGTAGCAACAATTTGTTGCAGGTGCCACTTGTTTTTAATAGGAATTCACATTGAATTCCAGTATTAAGCTACATGTATTTAATTCTTTCACTCTGTCCCAGGAGATAGGAATTATTTCATTGGTGAACAAATCACCAATGAAAAGAAAAGAGAAAAGAAAGATTTAATGTTCGGAATTAGGTGATCTGTCAAGTCTGTTTTTGTGGACTTCCTTCTGTTGACACCTCAAAGTCCATTTTATGCTGCTTCTGCAGTTATATGAAAGCCCACTCTTACGTTATTGGTGTTTCTAACTGACTATCAGTGGACAGACATCCCAACTGACTAAACCAT